AAGCACGTTCCCGGGCCCCAGGCACAGGTGCTCCCGCTCTGAGCGCAGGCCCGAGGATCCGCAGCCCAGGACGTGCCCACATGGGCGCCGGAGAAACCAACAGCTCAGGGAGTTTGAGATTTGACCCTGGAATAGTCACGTCAGCTGAGTCTGGTTCCTGCTGTTTTAACGCAGACAGTTACATGGAACCTCCTGAGAGAGGAAGGGCTGAGCGGCAGTTCTAATCGCTCTATTCAACGGCTCGGTCACAAAACAGCCTTTTAAAAATACGATTTGAGAAAAGGGCCTTGAGGGAGTTAGAGAAAGGTTAGAGAAAGGTCTGGTTTTTAACACAGGAGGCAGTCCTGCACAAAGGCACAGAACTCCACCGCGTTATTCAGTAGAGATACAAAACTGGTCAACTTCAGTCCCCGTTCTTCTAAAGGATAACAAACACTGCAAAATACTGAACAATGTTTAGAGAAAAGAGAGGCTGGAGCCCCTAAGCTAGGAAGGAGCGGTAAGAAGGCTTTTCCAGGACTGCACCCACCTCGGGCAGAGAAACAGTGCTTTTAAAAGTGCGGTTTTGTGTGTTGCCGGTTCTCTGAGGAATGCACCCAGACTCCCAAGTGGTAACGAGAAGGGACTCGGTAACACGACCGCCCATCCGTCCACAGGCGTCCGCAGGGGGCACCCACGCGGCTCGGACTCAGCGGCTGACAGCACACAGCCGAGCTGGGGGAACCTCTTCACCGTTTATTCTTTAGAAATGGAGACACAGCAGGAAAGGGTGCGGGTGCCTTTGTTTCTGGCCCCCTTGGAATCACAAGAGGAAGGAGCACGCTGACCATTACTCGTACAGAAAACGTTTCTGCAGAACGGAGGGTGAGCTCCGGGCTGAGGGACAGGGCGCACCCCCGGTCCTCCCGCCACACACACGAGCTGCTGCAAGTCTTACGGCGGGGGGTATAGTGTCTTTCTTCTTAGATCCTGACAGAATCAGGAATCCCCACGAGGAGGTGCAGAAGAGGGCAGTGAAGTAACAACAGCGCCAGCTGCTCCGCGCTGCTGGGCAGAAACGCAGAAGGGATGCGGGTCTCGGGTGCCGGGCGGCGCCCGTCCTGTGCGCGCGGGAAGCCACGGCGCATGCGCGGCAAGT